ACTGCTGTAAAAAATTGATTCTATTGCTCTTTTCAGACATGAGTAGACAGCTAAGGGGAAAGTCTTACATTTTTATGTAAGATGACTAAAAGTGACTGTGGTCTTTATAACCCTCGGAGATACACAGTGAACCCCTCAGTCTAGCGACACATTTGAAATAACACGGGTCACACACCCCCAGTTACCGAAAAAACAGAAGATAAAATAAACCAACCTTGCCAGACAGGCCAATGTATGCTTATTTTGTTATCAATGACGAAAATAAATAGTGGAACGCAGTGGTTTCGATAGAAGGCTTCGGGACATTTGGAAAACAAGTGGACGGAGTTCTCATCAATGGTCTCGAATTAGAACGAGAAAAAGCCGTGATATAATGCACTTAGATTACCACGCAAAGATGTTTATTTCTGCTGAAAAGTCGGTAGTTTAGATTTGCTCATTATTTACCTCACCTCTATATATCTGTACAGTCCGTAGCATTTGTATTTTGCATTTTTGTGCGGATTGTCCCCCAAAAATTGGGGCTGATTTAATATACTTTCAGGAGAAGATTCTGGTATGCTTATAAAGAAGGCTCAGTAAAAGGATTTATCAATTTATATCTTAATAATCGAGAATATTACCGAAGAATGCGCTGGCAGTGTAACGCCTGTTTCTGGTGGTAGAAAGATTTTTGAAAAGCATTTTCTTAACTGTGGAGTAATTAGCAAATTCTGAGAACTTTGACAAGCCTTTTGATATGCAGTATTCAATAATGTATTTATACTGCTCCGATATCTAGTCTATTTGAGACAGAATGGTTGATTTGTTTTACTGAACTACCTCCAAAAGGTTATTTTGCTACCGAACTTGACTGATGTGATCCTGGTTAGGTTCGTTAACGATGTCGACACAGATCAAGCCTTTGCTGAGTCTGAGCCTCATTGAGGCACCACCCAAGTTCTTACAAGTAATAAAAAGAAAAAGTTAAACACTCCTTAAATTTCTAGAGCCTAGAAGATGCCGGAAAATTTGTGAAACGTCTTAAAGAGACTGATCCGGACATAGTCAATTCAACTGTAATGCATTTCTGCTAAATATTTCACCGTTTTATTAGGCTAACCGCTCAGGGACAGATGAAGAGCGTAGAGCCTTGCAAGCAGGCCTCTTATACTTGGGCCTTACGGAGCCGGACCCTCGGAGGTCGGCTTGCACCGATATAGTTCTCACCGCCCGTGATAATCTGAACTACGCTCTTTCGGAACTTACTAGGCTGGTCGCAGAAGCCTGGCCTAAAATGCCCCAAAACGTACGCTCTAACTTGCTTTCAATTTTGGCGGAGTTAATTGCCATTCGCGGGGCCAGTGTGGAGCTTTTGATGTTGCACCTTTACCGTCGAATGCCTAGTGAGTTGACCAAATGCTGTCAGTTTTTGCTTTTTCTTGAATCTTTAAAGCATTATTTTCCTTGGAAATATTTATCTAGAACAAGTGTCTTTGATTTATCAACAGCCTTGGTACAAACTCCGGGCATATTTTTTGTCTACAAATGTTATGGTTGTGTGTAGATTGAGCTATACAGTAGTTGTCCGTTAGCTGATTTAATTGCTGATGTTAATTCTAAATTTTAAATGATACGCCACATACATTTGGTTGCGGGCCGACTGGTTTAGGTTACTCCAATGACAAAC